ACCCTCATCCAATGACGTTCGAGAAATAAAACTCCCAAACTTCTTTGGAAGAGAACACACAGACTTCCTTGGGCACCATGCCTTTACACAGATGCACCTTCTTTGGATTGACAAGCATTTATCCAGCGCTCGGAGTGCTTACTAGACACCAGGCCTTCAGGAATACATGAAGATAGACAGGGAAGGCCACTGGTCTAAAAAAGAGTGGGTCTCAGCTTCATTGCCCCAAGGCACATGGGTGAATGGCATTCTCCTACTAGATGTAGTTCCATGGCCTGGTTATGGGAATTCCCAGCGACGGTCATTTCTCCTCTTTCTCCATCACTGGGAGACAAGGAATGGTAACGCAGTCCATAAGATCGCAGGGATCTGTCCTAGTGCACAGTTTTCAGTACATCTGACTCCTGCAAGCCATAGCAACCCAAGCCTGTGCAAAAGCAGGATGAGATGATGCAGTCCAGGGAGGTCAAGTGGCCTCAGAAGTGACTGGAAGTGGGAATTTGAAAAACAGAGAAAAGATAACAGTCATTACAAGCTGAGGAGAAAGCAGCTTTGGAGGACAAAGGAAGAAAAAGGGTAAGGAGAGTAAAGCAAGTCAGCGAGTCCCCTGTGTGAGCACCAGAAAGGGAAAGAGCCAAGGGTTTCACGGATGCGCTGTGGGGAGAGGGAAGTGTTGGAAGATTCTGCTGAGAAGATAAACTGGATCCAAATGGTGGAGCAGTTTGCATATTACACGGCAGAGTGTGGACTTCATCTCTGTGCAGGGGCGAGCCCTGGAGGCTTTTGCAGCAGAAGGTGTTCTCAGATGTGCATGACATTGATATCCTGGAACACTCATGACCCCCTCAGCCATGCTGGGACCTGGAGGCTTTTTGTGAAATTCACAGTGGGTAAGACCTTAGGAGGCAGACCAAGTACCAACCTAGATAGGTTCCTTAACTTCTACGGGCCTCAGTTTTCCCTATTGTGACATGAGGATGATAAAATTCCTATATCATAGTGTTGCTATGAGGATTGAAAGAAACTAGGTGGGCCAAGTGCCTAGAGGGCCTGGCGTATAGAAAGCACTTCATATTAGAAGGAGTTAAAACTAAATTAGCTGGGCATAGTTGTGCATGCCAATAATTCCATGTGAGGAGAGGCTGAGGCAGGAGGATCACAAATCTGAGGCTAGCCTGGGTAACTTAGGAAGGCCCTGTCTCAAAATAAAATTTTAAAAGGGCTGGGCATGTAGCTCACTGGTAGAACATTTGCCTAGCATGGGTTCAACCCCCTTCCACACATACCCATGTAAATCAAGTGTGCACACATCAGAAGTGGGTAACTTCCCCTACTCAGGGGCTTTGCCCCAGCTCCTTTGGTATGAACAGAGCCTCATGTTTGCAGCCCAAGGGGACAAAACATTTTCAGGAGCAGGAGAAATACTGTCTGGCCCCTGCTGGATCACACACCTCCAAACCTGCAGGTGTGAACACTGACTCTCAGGCAGAAAGTGGAATATTAGCCAATGGGGGCTCAGCTTTCCAGTTCTACCTGTGGTCTCAGCTCCGCCCACTAAGATATCCCTTTGGATTTTGCCATCATCTTCATCCAGGGCCAGCCA